TACTCACACGGTGTTGACAGGATTCAATTCCTTTGTCACATAGGCCTCTCCATAACATAGCTGACAATATGGCAGCCATTCTGATTTGTGATCCTACTTTTATAGCCAGGCATTTCCCCTGATTCTGGAAGTTTTGGAGGTATTTTCTTTGTCCCCACTACACTAGGATGTCACATGATGTGCCTTGATGTGGGTGAGGATCGAGTGAAATAATGGATATAAAAGGTCAAAATAGGATGGTTAGAAAAACACTGTGCACTTAGAGGGCAAGCATAGTGGATGGTGAGCTAGAGAGGAGCTGGGAACAGAAAGAGAATGTTACATGAAACTCTGGAAGCAGGAAAATCAGGGAAGTTATGGGCAATGGTCCTGTCTTACCTGGTGTCTTCCCCAAGTTGGAAGGTATCCCCAAGTGCCTTACCTAGGAGTTACCAGTGTCCAGCAAAAGCTCCCCATTCCCCCCTCACTACTAAAGTCTAGGGGCACATTAGGCACTAAGGCACTAGGGCCCACAAACCAGTGTTCTTGAGCTAAGCTGGCAAATCAGCTTGCTTAACCTTTGAATCTGGTACTTTCTTTGGTCTTAAATATAGCACTATCTAGATTTTTTTTTTTTTTAGAGTGAAGTTGGACAGATTATGCACCTGAAGTCAGAGTATAGATATGAAAGTACTTAATAAATTGTTAAACATTATACAAATTAAGTTGTTGCATTCCTTCTACTTAGAGAAACCTAAACTCTCCAATTGTGTGGAAAACACAGATAGAATGGTATAAAATGCAAATAAACACTCTATATAGCCTACTGAGAACCATTTTCCTAATATTAACAGTCCCATATCTCAATATTTTCAACTTCTCTAAAGTATTTGCATTAAATTGGGTGACATTCCCCATGTTGGGATTATGGTATGTTTCCATTCCCTTTCTCATGAGCGAGGGCATCCTGCAGTTTGCTCTGTATTCCACCGTGCTCTTGAGTCAGACAGGTTATTCTATTCTTTGTTTCTCTGCCTTCTCTTTTTCCTTATGGTCATGTGCACTTAGGATTTATTTTTTTAGGGAAAGGCAGATATTTTAGAAAACTGAATACTGGTTCTGTCTGAGTGATTTCCGTACTGATGGGGAGAAATCGCTGTGCTGCTTATAACCCACTGCGAAATGAGCCTTTGGAAATATAATACTGTTTAACCTGCTACCGAGCAAGGGTCAGGTTCTTTAAGGGTCTCTGTGCTTAGGAATACCCTATTTATTTATGCAGTTGCCCAGGCATTTAGAGCAGACTTGCCTCTATCATTATTATGCTGCAAATGGTGGTGGTCAAAATAAAGAATTGGTTTCCTTCCTTCATTATAGAATTATTATTATAGAGCAGTGTTTGGAATAATCATTGATTTCTTTTGTCTTTATTTAAAATATGTTAAACCAATGTATTTCATACGAGGCACCCTATTTATTTAAAATTTTTTTTTAATGTTTATTTATTTTTGAGACAGAGAGAGACAGAGCATGAACGGGGGAGGGCCAGAGAGAGAGGGAGACACAGAATCTGAAGCAGGCTCCAGGCTCCAAGCTGTCAGCACAGAGCCTGACGCGGGGTTCGAACTCACGGACCGTGAGATCATGACCTGAGCCGAAGTCGGACGCTTAACCGACTGAGCCACCCAGGCGCCCCGAGGCACCCTATTTAAACCAACAGTGGGGCACTTGGGTGGCTTAGTCGGGTCAGCGTCTGACTTCAGCTCAGGTCAAGATCTCATGGTTCGTGGGTTTAAGCCAGGCATGAGGCTCTGTGCAGACAGCTCGGAGCCTGGAGCCTGCTTCCAATTCGGTGTCTCCCTCGCTCTGGGCCCCTCCACCACTTGTGCTCTCTCTCTCTCTGTCTCTCAAATAAACAAACAAACAAACAAACAAACAAACAAAATTTTTTAAACCAACAGTGAATTAAACGGGTTCTGTCATAAATGAAATTCTTTTTGAGATATCAGTGAGTTGGTTTTTCATCTCTTCTTTACTCTTCACAATTCTACCTTGTCTTTTAAAAAGATTAGATTTTCTAATGTTCATAACAGATTAGAAAGTTGCAAGAACTTTAAAGGGGAGTAAGCAATAATTTTTTAGTGCACCCAGACATAGAGAAAGACTTTTTTCATGAATCTTGCCAAGATGGAAATGAATGAAGAAAGAAGTTGTTAAATAAAACTCAAAGATGCCCCAAGGAGGATGGAGGTGGGGATGGAGTGGAGATTGAGATTGTGAGCCTCCCTCTTGCTTATTGCAAATTGAAACTCTAATTAGAGGAAAATTATGCATATGAAACAATACGGTTAAGTAGTATTAACACTCGTTAGGTGCAGGAGCTTAGAGGAAGGAGGCAGGGAGTAAAGACTGCAGTGCTTTTGGAAGAATGGTTAAGATTTAAATAAAGAACAGGAAAAAGACACATTCCAGATGAGAGCAAACACATCAGTGTGGACTTGGAAGCCAAGTATAAGCACCTAAAAAAGATACGTATGGGGGCGCCTGGGTGGCGCAGTCGGTTAAGCGTCCGACTTCAGCCAGGTCACGATCTCGCGGTCCGTGAGTTCGAGCCCCGCGTCGGGCTCTGGGCTGATGGCTCAGAGCCTGGAGCCTGTTTCCGATTCTGTGTCTCCCTCTCTCTCTGCCCCTCCCCCGTTTATGCTCTGTCTCTCTCTGTCCCAAAAATAAATAAACGTTGAAAAAAAAAAAAGATACATATGTACTTTAAAAAGCCATAGACAGGCAGACATACAAGATGTAGACAAAAATTAAGGCCAGCAAAAACTGCCACCAAAAAAATTAAGCAAGTAAAACTAATATAGTATTTTTAATTTATAAATTCTTTTATGAAAAATAAAAATCTTGACAAATGTAATACAAGTTCTTACAACAAATAAAAGGTATATATCCTGATAGAAAAATGGTCAAAATACTTTAGTAGAAAAATGACAAAACAAGAAATAAAAATGGCCAGTAAGTATATCTCAAAATATTCAACCTCAGCAAAAATCAAAGAAATGTAAACATAAACAATAAATGGCAAGTTTTCTCTTATGAGACTGACAGCGGTTTGAAAAATAATAATACCTGGGGCATTGGGGTGGCTCAGTAGGTTAAGTGTCCAACTCTTGATTTCAGCTAGGGTTATGATCTCATGTTTCATGAGATTGAGTCTCACATCAGGCTCCACGCTAACAGCTCAAAGCCTGCTTAGGATTCTCTGTCACCTCTCTCCTGCCCCCCACCCGTGCTCTGTCTCTCACAAAATAAGTAAATAAACATTTAAAAAATAATAACTACACACAAATGCAGAGGAATAGGTACTTACTACTGGTGGGAATTTAAATTCTTATGGCAGTGTGGCAATGAATTGAGGGCCTTAGAAAAAACGTAGTTTCCATTGGTGCCTGGGGGGCTCAGTCTGTTAAGCATCCAACTTCAGTTTAGATCATGATCTCGCAGTTCAGGGGTTTGAGCCCCACATTGGGCTCTGTGCTGACAGCTCAGAGCCTGGAGCCTGCTTCAGATTCTGTGTCTCCCTGTCTCTCTGCCCCTCCCCTGCTCACGCTCTGTCTCTCTCAAAAATAAATAAACATTTTTTAAAAACCACATAGTTTCCAATATAGCAGTTCAGTTTCTAGGAGTTATCTTAAGGAAGTCATTGAAAAAGATGAACACAAGATGTTCATCTAACCTTTATAACATGGAAACATTGTAAATATCCCAAAAGACAGTATGGTGATATTAACATAAAAATGAGAAAATGCAAATGCTAGAGCATCATGCTGTTACTCTAAGAATAGATGCTTGGGGAAAGTGTGTGCGTATATGTGACTGCATACACTTAGGGGACATCGGAGAGGTTATATGCACTACATCATTAATAGTCTTTAACTCTGGATAGTTGGACAACTGGTAACCTTAATTATCTCTTTTTTGTTTATCAAGACAGCGAATATGTGTTACCTTTTGAAATATGATTTATAGGGGCGCCTGGGTGGCTCAGTCGGTTGGGCGTCCGACTTTGGCTCAGGTCATGATCTTGCGGTCCGTGAGTTCGAGCCCTGCGTTGGGCTCTGTGCTGACAGCTCAGAGCCTGGAGCCTGTTTCAAATTCTGTGTCTCCCTCTCTGACCTTCCCCCATTCATGCTCTGTCTCTCTCTGTCTCAAAAATGAATAAACGTTAAAAAAAAAATTTTTTTTAAAGAAATATGATTTATAGAAAAACAGCTTGAGAATCAGAATAAGGGGCAGTTGCTTACAATGTTCATTAAGAATGCATTTTTTTGAGGCACTGGGTGGTTCAGTTGATAGAGCATGCAACTCTTGATCATGAGTTCAAGCCCCATGTTGGGCATGTGGTCTGCTTAAAATAAAATAAAATAATCAAAAAAATGCATTTTCTCTACCTACTTAAACATTAACGAAACTGTGTGACCTTAATTAGGTTCTAGAACCTGCAAAAAAGTTGGCTTGGAAAGATTCCCCCTCCCTCACTTGCCTAGAAAGGCTAACTAAGCCTAGACATTTTTTCTTTGAACTCTTTCTTTAAAATGTTCATTTATTTATTTTGAGAGAGAAAGAGAGAGAGGGAGAGAGAGAGAAAAGAGGGGGCAGAGGGGGAGAAAGAGAATCCCAAGCAGGCTCCACACTCAGCGCAGAGCCTGACGTGGGGCTCAATCTCATGACTGTGAGATCATGACCTGAGCCAAAATCAAGAGTTGGACGCTTAACTGACTGAGCCACCCAGTTGCACCTCTTTTAACTCTTTAAGAATTCTACATCTGCATAGTTGATAATTGCAGAATATGGTTAATTTTATAACAGTTACAGGCTAATGGTTTCTGTTCATCTATAGTTAATAACTTTGACTTAGAACTTCAGAAACTTCTGGAAGAATCTGGATGTTGTAGATTTTCATTTCCTTGATCCTTGTATCATTTTGTCCTTCTTTTTGCTCCTGTTTAGATTCTATCATAATGAATGGATCCAGTGTAGCCAATACATCACCTAATGTAAAATCCAAAGAGGACCAAGGATTAAATGGGCACGATGAGAAGGAAAACCCATTTGCAGAGTACATGTGGATGGAGAATGAAGAAGATTTCAACAGACAGGTAAAGAAAGAAGTGGAACGGCTTTAATATCTTGCCATCCATCTGTAACGAAAGAAATGGATTTGTCGGCTTTAGAATAATTTAAAAATGCATGGAGGCCTGGTCTGGGCTGACCAAGGAGCCTCTTCAGCTGGTAAGACACCAGAGTAACAGTACTTTGGAGGAAGATCCTGATTCTTTTCTCTCACTTTGATTACAAGAGGCTCTCGTGCCATGGCGATCTGGTATAGACTTCTGCGAAACAACAGCTGTGTGCAGACAGGCCAGCCTGGCATGCCCCCCTGCCCCCATGGGAATTCAGGGACTGGTAGAATGTGTGTCTGAGATGGAGAAGTGTGCTAGGTAGGAAAAGGCTAGACTGTTTGAACAAAGGTTCAGCAGTAACCTGTTGTCTTGTATCTCTGTGATGTTGATAGCCCAAGGTAGGCATTCCAGGTAGACAGTGATTCTGTGACCACATGGTTCTTCCGTGGTGTTTCTCTGCCATAGCAGGGCATTTATCAGCTGAGTAACTGAAGGATAACTGAAAGTCTAGCCACTGGGAAATGGGGAGAGCTAAAGGCCGAGGAAGAGATCTCCTTTTAACCAAGTGATGCCTAAGTGTTCACACCCCTTCTGGGGGCTGTTACATGATGAATAGTAATGTGGCCACCGCCAGCATGGGAGACGGGACGTGATTTTAACTGAAGAGCCTGGTGCTCTGGAAAGAAGGAAACAAGTTTATCTGGGCAACCAACAGTTTCCACCCCAGTCAGCTCACTGTGTCATGATTTGTGTGAACAGCACATAGACCATGCTGCCCATCACATCCCTGTGCCCAGGTAACTGTTTTTGTGGCTGCGCCAGTGAGTAAGGGTAGATTTAATAGGGAGGAGCACACTGTGATGCTCCTGTGTAGAGGCAGGGCAGATCTTGAGCAGTCGTGTTAAATCTTATGGCTTGGAAATATGTTGTGCTTGTTGTTACTTTAAGTACTTCAGACTATCTAATTTACTTGAGATCAAAGTGTGGCTAATTGTAATGCCACTATTTTTACATCTTGTGCTACTGGTGACTTTTGAATTCATGAATAACTGTATGAGCTAGTCTGGGTGATTGTTTTTGCTTGACTTTCCCTCTGGTGGTGGTGCTAGTGAACTGTGAATCTGTCACCACGTAGGGTAGCCCACGGGAAAGGGATAGCCAAATGTGAAGCCCAGGACCTGTTAAAATCACACTTAATCTGCAGAGTGAACCATACTCTTCACTATGAGTTAACAATGCCTGCAAAGAAGGTGTAAAATATCCTAGATGTATATTGCTTTAGATTAAGGCAATCTTTAAGAAATACAGAGTTGTTTAAATATTCATATTTTTCCTTGCTTTGGAAGGCTACCTACATCGATGACATCATTTTCTATTGGTTTGCCAAAAAGTGTTCTTTATATCTTTCTAAGGTTCTGAAAGTATTTTTCTCCTTTAGGGGCCTCATTACCAGAAAAGTGGGCCAGAAGCTGGGAGTTGGTTTTGATTTAATCTCCACTATCCAGGTAGTGGTCTAGTTCTGTAATTCCTGTACCTTTTTCATACTTATAAAATGGGAAATTTAAGAGGAATTGCTTCTTAACAAGGTTGAGAAAAGAATCTCACACTTTAAAATGATTTTCTGTAAGCGCCATCTGAATGAAAAGTATTTTTGTCACATATTTGAGATGTTAGAAGAGGTACGAAGACCTTGACTTTCTGCTATTCTGAATAACTGTTTCCTTAGTCTTATTGTTGATGGAATGTGGTTGAAAAAAAACAAAAATTATATTTTCTCTGGCCAGTCATTCGAAGCATCTTAATTCTTAGTAGACCTCATACAAGATCATTCTTAATAGCAGAATAAGGACCTCTGAAAGAAAGAGGCAGAAAACTGGAAGGGGCAAGTCCCACCAGGACGGTAAGTCTGAGCTCATCACCTTTGCTTGCTAGGTGGAGGAGGAGCTGCAGGAGCAAGACTTCTTAGACCGCTGTTTCCAGGAGATGCTGGATGAAGAAGACCAAGACTGGTTTATCCCCTCACGAGACCTGCCTCCGGCTATGGGACAGTTGCAGCAGCAGTTAAATGGACTGTCAGTCAGCGATGGCCATGATTCCGAAGACATTTTGGTAAGAGCCATATGCAGACGCACACGAGACATAGTGAAAAGAATATGGGATTTGGAGTCACAGACTTCCCTTGGGGCCCTATACCCTTGGGCCCATCTCTGGAGCCTCTGAGCCCCCGTTTCTTCACTCATCCCACGGACACGCATAAGAGGGTGCGACGAAGATGCGTTGTGCCGCATAAAGTGCCGTGAAAACACGATTGTCGCAGCAGCGCCAGCTTTTATTTTCCCCAGTGGGCTTTTCAAAGTAAAATTGGGATTAAGGGTAAGAATTGGAACACAGAGGAGGTTTGGTTTCAAATTAGCATTTGCTCTTGTTGTTCTTTCCTTTTACTGTTCCTCAAATCTGTATTTATAGTTTTGAACGATGCGGTTATAAAAATTGCCTGTTCGTTTCGGAAGGAACATGACTCCTAAGAGGCCATTTCCCACTTAAAATTAGAAGACTGGATAAACCAATTTCCTGCCTTTCATGTTTACTTAAAGTCAGAATTCTGTGAGTGGCTTAGTTCTCCCAGAACTCATGTTCCAAATGACTGTGCCCCGCGGTTTGCCCAGGTCCCAGGTTTTGGACTTTCACGAGAGTGGATCACCAAAGAGAAAACAGTGAGGGGGAAAATAAAGGGATTGTGGTAACCAAACTGGTTTGGCGGAATACTCTGATTTTCATCGAGTTAAGGTACTCAGTGAATTGAGAAATTATTTTTGGAGTCAGACTTCCAAGCCTCTAATGAAAGCGTCATGAAGGGAACAGGAGTGTAAAGCAGGAAGGAGAAAATGAGGTTGGTCAAGGCTTTATATGTCAGGAGCCATTGAGAGCAGCCCAACAATAACAGCCTGGTGATAATGGAAGCATGCAGAAAATAACCTTGAAAGTGGGATTTATTATCTCTTGGTTCTTCTTTCAGAGCAAAAGTAACCTGAACCCGGATGCCAAGGAATTTATTCCGGGAGTGAAGTACTGAACTGACAGAAAGCTTTGAGGAGAACTTGTATGTCCCCACATCTGGGGACAGTGCTGCACAAAGAGGCAGAGCTGAAGAGGGGGGTGGGGTGGGCGAGGGGTGCACAGTGGGGAAGGGGGACAGTGGTTTAACTTGACACTGTGAGTGGAGTAACTAATGTGCTCAGTCTTACTCTACAAGCCTCCGAGTCTTTCTCTTTTGTTCTACAGACTTTGGTTTGGGGCAGTTTCCTATTATTATTATTATTACTAGCTTTTTGAGTTAAGGAAATTGCAATCTTTTTTTTCCCTTTATCAGGAATGTTCTGCTGTGTGTGTTTAAACAAAATAAGCTGACCAAGAAAATCTGGGTGTTTAAGAATGCCCTTCTCACCCTGCTGTACACTTACCAAGGGCAGTGAGCACCTGGAGAACTACTTATCGAGTCCGTTAAGCTGGACGAGAAGAGGGACGAGTGGAAGAAGCAGGTGTTGCAAATCAGAGTACTCGGCCCAACTCCCTTGACTCCCAGGGCTTTCCTGCAATGAACCGGATTACCGTGGCCTGCCAAGCCCATGTCTCCTTGCCTGGAACCCCATTCAAGAAAACACAGATTTAAAGTACTGGGTTATGGTAACTCTTGTGATGGCTAATGGAGGTTGTAAACCAGCAGGGGAGGGCTGCAACAGTGACTGTCCCTTGGGTCGCTTGGGTCACTCAATCACTGCTGACCTGTTCTTAAGCCTCTGCTTAGAGCCATCACCGAACTCATTATTCATTATTTACAAGGTAAAAGAGCTCTAGGATGGGTTTGTCACTTCAACTCTCATGGCATCTAGACCCCTATCTCCTTTCCGCCCCAACCCTACTCTGTTTTTAAGGAAAGATACTGTTACCAAAGGTGAAGCAGAGGCATGCTGTGCGGGCCATCAGCTTCCGCCTGGAGAAGTCAACCTTGAATCCTGTTAGTTGTGTCTTAAGAGTATTTTGACAGTTTTTTGCCAGCCCTGTGAAGACTTGGTCCTCCTGATATCTTCCCTTATTAGTAAATTATTCCCAATAATTTTGCCCAAGTAAACATATTTTTCTGGACACCAGCAAGGAGCTCCATTCACAATTTGGATGCTTCTCCCCACCTTACAGAATTATACAAAAGAACTCAAAAAAAGCCTGGGAGAATGAGTCTTGGTTGACCCATGTGACCATGTGACCCACTGGTACAGTTTCAGCAATTACAAAGTTTTGCTGTTCCCTGACCCCCAGCTTTGCAAGTTTTCTAGGTTGGGCTCTTCGGGTATGTTCCTTTTGTCTTTCCCGACTATAAGTCACAGGAGTTTTGGCTGATACTCATAAGGAATTAAAATGGGCACCAGAAGCTGCCTTTGTGTGATAAAGATGTAGATGGCAGAGTTAGGTCTAAAAGAGAACATGTCTTAGTCCTGGCCGTTCTCCCAGGACAAGGATTTGCAGAGGCCCGAGGGGGACAGTGGCTTCTGTGTGACTGCTACTGTGTTGTGCGACAGGCCTATTAGGAAAAGGCCATGTAACGAAATAAAGTCTGTTAAATTCAGTATGTGGATACGGGACAGAGGTTGGAAGGAAAGGACCAGCGTCTAGAAAGCTTAGGAATCTCTCCCTTTTCTTATGTGCTTCCTTGTTGACTTTTTGAACAGCTGCAGGCTAATGTCAGTTTTAAAATATGAACCCACATCTTTCCCTCATTTGAGTCTATAGGATGGCATTGTTTGAAGAATGGCCCTTTTTGTTAGGTCAACGACATAGGAGAGTAGCTTAAGGAGCTTGTACTGCCAGACATGCATGTTAATTCCTGAAGCCTCTACCCTGAGAGAATGGAACGCTTAACCCATTTTCAGGGAGGCCTCTGAATAAAGAAACTTCTTTATTCCAACTTCAGCTTTCAGCTGGGGTTGTTGCCTGTAATAGGGAAAGGGCCTTGGAAGTGCAGGAATAGAGGTGTGTCTGTGCTGGGACCCCTTTTCCTCCTTCAGTCTCCATTACCTTATCCAAGCTCAGAGTCCTGAAGGCTGTTGGAAATATGTTGAGACTGCAGAAAGAGCCGTTTTCTAGAGTGTGGGTGTCTCCATCACAAAGATATAACGGATTCTCGTGTGGCTCCCAATCTGGAAAGTCCTATAAGGATCCAGGTGGAGCCATTTCTTCATTCTGAAGAAGGCTTGTTCTCCTGACCAGGATAGGCTAAGATACTATGTGCGGTCCAAGTCCTGTCTGCTGTGGAGTTCCATTTTGCATGCCAGTCTTTAGCACGGGTTTCACGAGGCAGATTTGGTCAGGACTAAGAGAGCTCCCTGCCACATGAGCAGTGAAACCTGAGGGCTGGACTTTCCAGTCCTATCCAGACACAAGAGTGTGCTGACTCCAGGATCAGGAAGCAGCCAGCAATGTGACTGGCCCCTTTCTTAACGAGTAGGCTCGCACTGCAGTTTCTTTCCGTAGCCTGGCTCTTTTCTCCATTGTTCAGATCTTGTGAGGCAGGAGCACAGTTGTCACCCAGATCATAGGCTCAGCTAGAGAGTTTGCCAGCTCCTTAGCAGAAAAATTCATGTGGGTCTCTTTGGACCTTCACTGGGAAAAGGCTGGGGGCCTCTGTCTCCAACTTTTGCCCTTTGTAGCAAACATTCTGACTGCGTACCAGCCGGGGCATCTTTACCCTTTAAGGGCAAGGCTGCTATTTCTAAGTGATTATTTTCATGTTGAATTTAAGCCACTACTGTGTTTAAACTTTTCCTATTGGCAACTGAAGTTTGAGGATTTGCATAGAAATACAATATGTATTTTCAACATGTGCCAATTCTGGCAGGTCCCAGTGTTAGTTTATTAGTGACTGATTTCTGAGTCTTGTGATTATTGGACTCTAAAACTCCAAGATGAAAATGATTTTATCTCTTGCTCTTCAAGAGAAAAAAAACAAATCGAGGAAGTGCCTTTTCAGTTTCTCCAGGTCTTTGAACTGCAGCGGAAAACCTGACGGACACAGCCTAGGCCTAAGCACCTGCAGCTGCGGGTCCTTGGGCATTCCTGACGCAACAGCTGACTCTGGGGGTCACGTATGGTCAAACCAAAACGGATTGTAAGGAAAAGGCTGGACCTTTGCAGCACCTTTGGTTTTCAAAGTCAAAACAGCTGGGGTCTCTTTAAGAGGCTAACTATGGCCTAAAAAATGTTTTCAGTGAAATACTAAGCAGCATTTTTTAAATTGTGTACTGTCCTAGTGTGAGTTTTGTCTTGATTTTGGAGAGGCCAAGAAGTAAGGAGGTCACTAAAATAGTCTGGCAATTATAGATGTCAGAGAGGAGAGCTGTGTGAAGGAGGAGCTGAAGGAAACAGTTTGACTGTATTAGTGCCGCTACGGACCCCACGTAGACACATCAGGCACCCAGGAACGGACGCTGCTGTGATCGGAGGGGACAAGTGTTCTTCGATAAGGGTCCCAGCATCACAGGTTAATAATGTGTGTTGGTTTAGGTGACGTGTAGCAGACTTCTGACAAATCTGACCAAGATTTGGGGGTGTCCACCTATTGGGGAAGACTGTATATCTATCCCCAGCCACTCCCTGGGGGTAATGCGTGCGTTTGGGAAATGAGTGGAGAGAACAGGAGGATTGACCCAGATCTGCTGTACGCTATGCTATTTACTATATAAAATGGTACAACGTTTTCACCCTGTAACTCAACACTAAGGGATAATCCTGCCCTGTTGATTGTGAGCCTTCAGAAATGTTTAATGCTTGATGTGTGGTTTGGGAAGCAGGGATTTTTTTGACAACAACTTTATTGAGGCATATTTTACATATAAAATTCACCCATTTCAAGTTATTTTAGTAAGTTTCCTGAGTGGTAGGAAACAACCATAACCATACTCACCTTTACAACATTTTCATCCTCCTCCCACCCCCAGATCCTTCGTGCTCTTTTACATGATAATCCCTTATATTTCTGTCTCTATAAATTTGCCTTTTCTGGGCATCGTATCAATGGAATCCTACAAGCTGTGGTCTCTTATATCTGGCTTTTCTCACTTAGCATATTTTTGAGTTTCATCCATGAAGTATAACTTGCGTTGGTAGTTTCTTCCTTTATAGTGCTCGGTAGTATTCCATTGACGGATATACCAGTTTGTCAGCAGGTAATCTTTTAAACTTGGATTTCAGCCTCCTGTGTTCTGAACAGAACCCTCAGAACACAGAACTCCTAGGGAAGCTGCTGTGCATGTCAAAGGAACTGCTTACCAGAACCAGCTTCGTCACCAGAAGCTCCACATGAGGAGCCTCGACTGCAAAAATTTTTATAATTTTGCAACTTCTTTTTTATAAGGAACTTTCGTGCTGTCTACACATCAGGACTTTTGAAACATCTGATAATTTAATGAGTATGTTTTGAGTGGACACAAAAGTGAAACCATCTGTACTCTGTTGGTATTTGATCTTCTTGAACTGGATGGAGGGGATCTCTGAACTTTCTGAATACAGTATTGTCTCCATTACAAAGTTGAGCATGTATTAAAGATTGTGCTGCCTCTGTTGGATGGATTTGGAGAAGACAGCCAGCAGAGGAGGTCTCGAGAAAGGGAGGGGAGCCTGTGGAACAAGAAGCCCTGAGGGTCTACGCATGGCTCACCCATCTGGTGGTGTGGATGGCATAGTGCTGATGGTGCCCCGCGGCAGCTTAGTGCAATGTCTTGACTTTGGACTGTGATCCCCGTTTCACAAGTGTTTAAAAGCTGTTTTTGTTCCCTCCCCCTCCCCAAATAAACATTACAGGGTAGTTACTAATACTTCTTTGGGGGAGGGGGAGGGCTTTAAAATTGAAGAAATGATTTTCATAAAAATATAAAAAATGGGGAAAAAAGTTTTTAAAAATTTTGCTATACAAACCAAATGGCAGCTGTGGAAAGTCTCAATAAAATGAGAATAAATTGCATTTACTGCTGGCAGCATACTGTTTTTCCTAAGGTTGAATTATATGTCCTCATACAGGGAGTG